ATCGATACTTTAGTAAATTATGCATATTGGGGCGAACAAAACAGTCTACCTAGCATATTAACCGGAAAGGCTCATTGACACCCTTCTCCTGGCATTTAACGATGCTCGCTTTCTTTCGGGCCACTATCGGCTATTGCACTATTGTCAATTTTTTTTCCCTCAAAGAGTCGCCCAAAGAAACACTATAAGGTTTACAAACTTGTGAAATATGCCTATTGGGGCAACACAAGCAAAATGTCGCCCTGACTATCGCTTCTTTCCAGCTCAACTGTGCAAACAAGTGTGTGTGTTTCAAATTTATAATTTCTATCCACCAAAGCAATTAATGCAGGTTTGAATGACCGTTTGCACAAGATGATTTAAAGTGCACATTTTGTTTCAGTAATCTTCCTCTACCCTTACAACATTATACCAAAGCATGTGTTGTGATCACTATTCTTCTGTTCCTTTGAAAAAAGTCGCCCTTATGAACAATATCCGGTTAAGAGATTTGGCAAATTTGCTGAATTACTGGAGCATTCAGTTGTCGTGTTCGATTCCATGGAGTCACCCTAATACAGAAAAATCTCGATTTACTTTAGTAAATTATTGACTATTGGTTCTTTCCAGCTCAACTGTGCAAACAAGTGTGTGTATTTCAAATTTACCATTTCTATCCATCAAATCAATGCAGGTTTGAATGACCTTTTGTACAAGATAAATTAAAGTGCACATTTTGTTTCAGTAACCTTCCTCTACCCTTACAACATTATACCAAAGCATGTGTTGTGATCACTATTCTTCTGTTCCTTTGAAAAAAGTTGCCCTGATGAACAATATCCGGTTAAGAAATTTGTCAATTTTGCTGAATTAGTGGAGCATTCAGTTGTCGTGTTCGATTCCATGGAGTCGCCCTAATACAGAAAAATCTCGATTTACTTTAGTAAATTCTTGTGGTGGACTGGACTATAAAGATCCACCGTAAGATAGTTATTGAATGATTTTGTCCGCCAACAGAGGGCGTGCTTTAACTAAAACGGTGCCCTGATAATGGGGCGACACGATATTAATTTTTAGGGTCGTGATAGGGGATAAATTCTGGGACATTTAGTTGTAATTTGATATGGATTCAGACCAAGTGCATTCTTTACTTTGTGACTTTGTACATGAGTTCTCCAAGAGGGGCATTAAACATGAGGTTATAGTGTTTTTACCTGTCTTGCCTCGAACAGGAAGTCTGCGCAAGGGCCAGGTTTCTCTCGAAGAATTTGACAATAGGGTAAAGAGATTCAATGAACTTGTCCAGCAGTCAACATTCCAAGAGGATCGCTGGTGGATCTGGGAGCATAGAGGTTTGAGGCACTTCCGTTATAATGTCGATGGAGTCCACCTCAATGAAGCTGGAATGTTGCAGTATGAAAGGACCTTGCGACAGTTGGTGAAGTTCTTTGATTCTCGTATATGGCCATAGATGAAAATATATTTTAGTGGTGAGGACTTTGTTCTGTTTATCATCTGTTTATCATAAAAATAGGAAACAAAATGGGTCTTGCAGAGAGGCTGTGCTTTTATTGATTAGATGTGTTAACCTAAAAACTTGTAAACCTAATCATGGAGATTAAAATGCAGAATCATTCAATCGATCCTCAGGAGCTGATCGAACGAGTAGGGGAGATTGTGGTGGACTGGACTATAAAGATCCACCGTAAGATCGTTATTGGA